ACGCCCAGACAGGCACGTTGGTCATTGTTTTTCAATCGATTTAATTATACCTTGACATTCAGACCTGGTTCTAAGAATACCAAGCCTGACTCTCTCTCTCTCGCCAGTTTTCTTCCCCAGATTAACCTGACTCTGAGGAGAACATCATCCCTCCCGTCTGTATTGTTGGGGCCCTCACCTGGCCTATTGAGAGAGAGGTTCGCGAGGCTCATAAGGACGAACCTGATCCCGGTACAGGACCCACTGGGACGCTGTTCGTTCCCTCCACCATAAGGTCTAAGGTACTCGAGTGGGTACACACTAATAAACTTTCCTGTCACCCTGGTACCTCACGCATGTTATCACTTACCAAGACTCATTTCTGGTGGCCTATGCTCTCCCATGATGTAAAGGAATTTGTTGCAGCATGTGCCACCTGTGCCAGAAATAAAACTGGAAACCAACCCCCTGCTGGTCTGTTGCAACCACTACCAACGCCCAGCCGTCCTTGGTCACACATATCGGTGGACTTTGTCACTGGCCTGCCACGATCAGAAGGTAACACAACCATCCTCACTGTCATTGATAGATTTTCAAAAGCAGCCCACTTCATTCCACTACCCAAATTACCTTCTGCCTTGGAGACAGCCCATCTCCTCGTTCAGCACGTTTTTAGGATCCATGGCATCCCATCAGATGTGGTTTCAGACCGGGGTCCACAATTCATATCTCAGGTTTGGCATTGTTTTTGCAATACTTTGGGGGCATCTGTCAGTCTCACCTCCGGTTATCACCCCCAGTCGAATGGTCAGGCGGAAAGGTGTAACCAAGAATTGAAGTCCACCCTACGGTGCATTGTGGAACGCAACCCCTCGGCTTGGAGTCAACACTTGTATGGGTGGAGTATGCCCACAACTCGCACAAATCTTCAGCTACAGGTATGTCTCCCTTTGAAGCCTCCCTTGGCTACATGCCTCCATTGTTCCCCAGTCAGGAGACAGACATCACAGTACCCTCTGTTCAACACCACTTCCGCCGATGTCGACGCGTCTGGCGCAAAACCAAGGCGGCTCTTTTACGCACGGCTGCCCAGAACAAGAGGTTTGCCGACCGCCACCGTTCTACTGCACCATCCTACCAAGTGGGTCAAAGGGTATGGCTCTCCACCAAAGACATTCATCTAAAAGACACCCCCAGGAAAATGGCCCCCAGGTTCATCGGTCCCTTCCCCATCATCAAAGTCATCAACCCCTCTGCAGTTCGATTACAGCTCCCTAGTTCTATGAAGATTCATCCCACGTTTCACGTTTCCCAAGTCAAGCCTGTGTCGGAAAGCCCACTATGCCCACCTGCCAACCTCCCTCCACCCACCCGGTTGATCGACAATCATCCAGCCTTCACCGTATGGACCGTCCTGGATGTGCGACGCCAAGGAAGGGGATTCCAGTACCTTGTTGACTGGGAGGGATATGGTCCGGAGGAGCGTTCATGGATTCCCCGCTCATTCATCCTGGATCCCAGCCTCATCACTGCGTTCTTCAAGGCCCACCCCGAGAAGCGCCTCAGGTCGCCTGGGGGCGATTCTTGAGGGGGGGGGGGGGTACTGTAGGAGTAGCACTTGCTGCAGCCCCAAGATGGTCGCTGATTACCCACAGCTGACGGTCGTCTACCTGATGAGCTTCACCACTACATAAGGCTGCAGTCAAGCTCTACTCTTCGCTGGAGCATTGATTCCTCTTTGGGTATTTATGCTTCTAGCCAGTAATGCTAGGATTGATAAAGAGAACTTACCTTGTTTTTGTGTGCCTACAGCCATCCTGTTGTTTGGATCCAGTCTTGCTTCGTTTTTGGTCCTGCGCCTTGTTCCCTGCGCTCTTGCCCTCCAGCCACTTGCCTGCCTCGTACTGCCTATAGGATTGGACCCCTCTGGAAACCCTGGACTCTACACAGAGTAACTCTACAAATCCACCTGTAAGAAAGAAACAAGACTTCACAATCAATTCCTGTACTATCTCCGTGCCTGACCATCCTGACCGTGCCTTTGCTCTTCCAGGGGTTCCAGCCAATCAACATGTATATATGTAAAGTCCCACTGTAAATAAATTTCACTGTACACTTTTCATTTGAATCTTGTCGTTTTGGTTCTCGTTATCATCTGGGTACCTTGAGTCATAACATGGAGCAGACTGAGGAGATTGAGATCCAGGCAAAGGTGGGTCAGGAACGAGGAGGCAGAGATCAGGAGTCGAGGGTCAAATCCAAAATCCGTGATCGTTGTCCAAAAGGGGAAAGCGCAGAGTCAAATATTGTGGTCAGATGAGCAGAACAAATCCAAAAAGAGGCAGGCAAGGCGAGGAGTCAAAAACCGGCAAGGGTTGTGGCAAGGCGAGAGACAAGACTGAGAATGCTGGATTTCTAACAATAAACAGGTTTGAGAAACTGGCACTGAGGGAGAGAGGAGCTGAGCTTAAAAAGGGAGCAGGGCAGGTGGAACTAATGAGCGTTGATGAGTGACTGAGCAGAGGAGGCGTGGTGTAGGGAAACAGGAACTGAAGGGTGGCAGGCATTACAGGACTGAAACAAGAAAATTAAACTAAAACTGTGGAATACTAGGGCAAAACGTGACACTTTACCATGGTTTAATGTGGCGCTATGGCTCTGCAGACATTGCATGATGCTGTCTTGTTTTGTGGTGTTTCTGGTGTAAAATATTTCCACACAGTGGACATGTATCGATGAAAAGTTTGTTAGCTGTTAGCCACAGTTCTACTAACTCAGTGCTCACGTTGTAGCTGGCTGCAAACTATGAACTGGATTTCCTGAATGTGAAGCGGGTCTTATTACTCTGGGTGTCACAATCCTCAGTGTTTAGACCCATTTGCAGGCAGGCGAGCGAGGCAGGAGTTTAAAATAAAAATAATTTATTTTAAACCACAAAAACAAAACGGCTGACGGGGCAGCAAAACTACAGGCAGGATCCAGGCAGACAAGAACAGGACAGATTCAAAACTCAGACTGATACCTGGCACAAGGAACAGAGGAGGACCATGTTGTCTGTGAAAACAGAACAATGACCGGACAAGGAGTGGAGGAGAGAAAGGCTTTTTATAAGACAGAGGGAGAGTGAGTAATGAGAGCACCTGGGCAGGTGGCTGATGAGGGACAGGTGTGAATGATAAAGACTGAGGAGTGGAGAGGCAGACTGAGGAGCAAGTGGAAAACACAAACAAATACAAAGAAAACAGACAGGGACAGAGCCTGTCACAGGGTTCATGAGACACGCCGCCATTCAGGAAATCCATTCCGTAGTTTGAAGCCAACATGCATCATGGATCGGAAATATTGGCAGGTGGATCGGAAAAATCCGATACGTAAATTATGCTGGTATCGGAGGCCGATACCAATACTGGATCGGATCG